AGGAGTTGGGAGGGCCAGGAGGGCCAGGACAGCGCTCGGTCTGGCCTGCACACCCCTTGGAAAGTTCGCCCGAGTGTCAGGTGGGTGCAGGAGAGTCCCCGGGTTGATAACTGGCTCTTCACCTGGTGAAGGGAAGGGGCCCAGTGTCCCACCCTCACTCCCCCTGGCCAGGCCCTCGGGCAGCGACTGCACGGGACACTAGACCCCTCCGTGCGGAGGTGATGAGCAGCGCACGGGGAGCGGGTGTTCAGGGCTCAGCCCTCCACTGAGTGCACTTCCAGCACCGTCTGTCCGCTGTGGTGCTCAGCACCCTGTGAGAGTTTCCGTTGTTTCGTCGAACAAACGAGGGAAGGGCGATTTAGGAAAATCCCCCGGGGGTAGGGGTGATGGGCCAGACTGTCTGATTCCACGGCCGGCACATGGCCCACGGCACCGCGGCCCCTCCGAGTGGCGGGCAGGCCGGAGCACCTTGCGAGGCCCCTGCCGCCATCCTCACACCCGCCCAGCAACACAGCACATCCCCATGGTCCCCACCCCGGCCAGCGTGGCCGGCACAGAGCGGACTCCGGCGTGGCTGGTGATCAGTTGCTCCTGGGAACATACAAGTCAGTGAGTGGAGTGAGGGCCGGTGGGAAGCGAACTGCAGAGCCCGGGAGCTTCAGGAATCAGAGCACACTGAGTGTCGGTGTAACCGAGAGTCTGCCGTCTGGCTGTTTGGCTTTCAGAGGAGAACCAGCAGGGAGGCTGGCTTGTAGAACTGCCCAGTCCTCACGCTGAGTTCGGGGAAGTCCGTAGAGAAGATCCGAGCTGCGTGAACTAATACGTGTCTGCACACGTGCACCTTAGAAACACAGGCATTAATTCACCAAGTGAAAGGTGTGCAGGCGGAGTTGTGGCTGAGCTGGGTTTGGGACGGGGAGGGAGGAAGTGGGACCTGCGTTCTGCTGTAGCCCTTCTAACACCACGTGACCTTGAGCACTAAGTCAGACCTTAAAGGCGGGCTCAGAATGAATGGGGCTGCCCATCAGAAAATACCCCCCAGAAATTTTGAAGTCAGAACCCCATACCCAGTAACCGCCGGCGAGACAGAAGTAACCGAGTGGCTGCAGAAGAACTCGGGCGAAGAGGTGGTGCTGCCTTTTCTGCTGACGCCTCACCGAGGTGGCCGGAGGGGGGCGCTGCCGGGTCCCTCCTGCCCCGGGAGACGTGCCCTGGCCCCGCCCAGGACGCGGCTGAGAAGCTTCTCACGTGCCCGAGTGGTTTCCCAACTCCGGGAGCCATCGGCCCCGCCCCAGCCACGTCGCCCACCCTTGGATGACGTGCTCCCGCCCTCGGCCCGGTCTCCGGCCGCTTCCCCCTGCCTCCGCGTTGTCACCGTGCACTGGCCCCTGCGGGCTGGGGCGTCCCCCTGTCGGCTCTTCTGCTTCCTGTGTTCCCCCTCCGTTCCCACACTCACCCCTGCTGCCTGTCCACGCTGCCCCCCCACCCCCCGCCCCCTGCCGCCGTGCGAGTCCCTGACAGACAGGAGCCTCCTAGTCCCCCCGCGTTCTCGTCCGGGGTCACCTGCCCCTCTGCGGCACTGACCCTGACCAGGGTCGGCCAGCACAGACTGCAGCTGTTTCTGTAGCCTGCAGGTGAGGAGGCCGTGGGCCCTGCGGATGTGGGGCACTGTTCACTGAGCCCGTGGGGGCTCCTCGAAAGGAAGACCGCTCCCAGTCACTACCCCCTCAGCGCTCAGGTCTCTAGACAGGGGGCTCTGTCCCCGGAGAACCTTGCGTACGGAGTGGAATTGAGTACAACTGAGAGAGGCAGCTGTTCACTGACCCCCTGATGCAATGACTGACTGAGCATGCACTTTGCTCTGGGGTCAAAGGTTACGGAGAAGAGAGGGTTCCCGCCCAGCTTCCAGGGAGCTTTCAGGCCTCTGGGAGCATCATGAACGAACAACAGCAGTGCTGCACGCTCCTGGCATCGTGAGGTCCGAGGAGCGCTGACTGGGAAGGGCACACGTGCGCCCTCGTTCCAGCCCCGGGTCCCGGAGGCTGGGCCCCAGACCCATCGGAACAGGCCTCGCCCACCGCGGGTCACCAGGGTCCGTCCCCTGCTCGTTAAAAGCTGGACGGCCACGACCGGATAAGCCCACTTCCCACCGGTTCGGCCCGTGCACCGCTCCGATGACACGCTGTGTCTGCCAGACCGTAGGGCCGCAGCGGGCATTGAAAGGATGGGGCTCGGAAAGTGAAAGCGAACGGAATTCCTCCCTCGCCCCTCCCCCCCTCGGGGGAGGCGCCTCCACTCTGACACCCTGGTCGGCTCCGGGGGCGAGGAGTCGCCACCGTCGCTGGTCGGGAACGAACACAGCGAGGTCGCCCAGGTTCCCGGGACAGCCCCCAGGGGTGGCGCCGAAGACAGCGTGTGACCGTCCAGCCGCCTCCGCAGGGACCGGGAACCACCGTCGGCGAACCTTCCCTGCCGGCGGGTGACACCAGGGTGGCCCGGAGCCGCTCGGCGAGCGCGCTGTCGGAGCGGGCGGGGCCGGCGTCTGCGGGACGTTCTGCCAAACCAGGATAAACTGGTCGGTGGAGCGGTCCTCCCGCCCTCTGGGGTCGCCTGTGTCTGGGCACCAGCGCCGGACCCCGGTGAATACCGACACCCTGGATTTTTTCCTGCCCGCCTCTGTCGGGAATCACGTCCGACAGCGCCCCCTTGTGTTAGTTAACACAGCGCCGCCGCCTCTGGAAGGACGAGCGCGCTGGATCAGACCGGGGACCTGGCAACGTCCACGACACGCCTGCCCGGGATTCGGTCTAAAGAGACGGGACTGCCGTGCGTCGGGCGGAGTGTGGCTGGGGCCAGGGACCCTGGCGGGCGCCCGGTGATTGAAGGTTCTCCCCCAGTCAGGGTGAGCGGGACCCTGCTGGCCCACGGACGTGCCTTCACTCCCTCCCAGAGCCCGGACCGCGGAGAGGGTTGCACCCCGGAGCCCGATTCTGGTTTCATTTCCAGACCCTCGGCGTCGGCCGGCTGGTGGAGGAGGGCCTGAACCGCTGGGACAAGATCTCAGCCAGGTCTTGAGCCAGAAAGAGGACTCAGACCCCAGAGGGTAGCAGTTTAAAGAGTTAAATTAAGATTCTTTCTTTCCAGGTATTACTCTAACCAATGTCAAATAATATTTATTCTTCCCCCCAAAAAAACTAGTGTATTTTTCTCCGACCAAAGGCTATGATGTTGCCATTCTAAAAAATTGGTAGCTGGACACTGCACAGGGACTTTGGGGACAACTTACACCATAGACGCCATCGCCACATGGTCTTCGCCTGAGTGCAGACGTTTGCAAAGATGGTTTGCACTGACTCACCGGTGACCTGCTGCCACTCACTCATCTGGGTATCGCTGTGTTCTATGTCCTTGTCTCTAAGAGCAGCCACAAACAGCATTAATTAAATAAGAGGTTATTTTAATATCTCATAACATAGCAATATTCTAAACGTAATTTAAAATTACAGTTTACGCATAGCAGTACCAACACAAAGTTAATTTTATTTAAGAATAGAGGTTGAACTGAATATTGCATCTGTGCATAATTTCCATAAAAGAGGAAGAAATCTAGTAAGAAATCTAGTACATAAAAACCTGTAGACTGAATTCAGGGAATACATTGTGTTCTTGGAAGGAAAGATACAGCGAAATTCAGTTTAAAAACAAACATATTTTGGGTGTTACAAGAAGGTTTTCCCCAGACAGTCTGCTGATCTTGCAGGCTTTTCATCAGCAGGTGGGGCAGTGTCCGCTCCAGCGGATAGAAGGGAATCCCGAGAAGCTGCCTGAGGCAGAGGTTTCTACAGCCCCAGGTGAGCAGGAGCAAGGAAGTCATCCCGGCACTGGCTGATTGGCTGGAGCAGGGCCACCCAGCAGCCTGTGCTGGGCAGGCGAGTGCTAACTGGTTGACGTGAGTCTTCCTTTCCTGGGAGAAACCGGGTTAAGGTTCGGTTTGCTGACACAGGGCTTAGCATGAGCAACTCCATCTTGGCCTGAACTGGTGACTGTAATACAGGTTTAGCAGTAAAGTTAAAGGCTTTAGTAAACATTTTAAAGCATGCTTATGTATTTGTCTTTAGCTATGATAATAAGTGTATTCAGAAATGTGTATATACGAAAAGGTTTTCTGCCCTGGCTGGTGTGGCCCTGTTGGTTGGAGTGCCGTCCTGTACACGGAAAGGTCACGGGTTCAGTTCCCCGTCTGTCCTGGTGGACCGTGCGTCATCCAATATGGTGTTTTTATTTTGTCCTGTGAGCTGCTTTTCCCCTGGAGACACTGTCCTTTCAGGCAGTGAGCAGGGAGAGGGGGCGGGTGCATCCTGTCTTCTCCTCGAGCTCAGAGCCCACCAGGTGGGCTTAGCTCAGCACTCCCCACCCCTCCGCACAGGGCGGCGTGTCACCTGGAGTTCCCCGGGGCAGTGGTGGGGGAGAAGCACTCCCCAGCTGTGTTCCTCCTGCACCCCACTGCCGCGCACCGCGGACGGGTCATCCCCAGGCAAAGGCGGATGATGAGCAAGGGCAGAACACCAGACACCCGGTTCTCATTCTGACCCGCTAGGTTCAGCCCGGATGCGGAATGGGGTCCTGCACCCCTCAGAGCTGCCGGCACACACGCACAAGTTCCAGACAGCCCCCCACCCACCACACAGCACCCCCAGGGGCCGCTCCCCGATTTCTCCCCTGTGGGCCTCTGCTCCCCACAGCCCCCCCCCCCCCGCCCCAGACGACTCCAGGCAGGAGCGGCGGCTCCCGATCCCCGATAAAATATTCCCTGTGCGCGCGCACACACACACACAGACGGCTGTGGGGGCGGGGGGGCTCCAGGGCGTCGCCCTTCAGCAGGATGGAAGGATCAGGGACGTTGCCCATGGAGACGTGGGCACGCAAGCCCACGCTGCGGCTACGGTCCACCTCACGGCCCGAGCCAGGCGTCACCGCCCGCGTCTGCTCTCTCCCCGCAGGGAACTACTGGAACGCCGCCTCCTTCCCCAACCCGTCCTCCTACCTGCACTTCTCCACCTTCCAAGGGGAGACCAGCGCCGACATCGCCTTCTACTTCAAGACGCTGACCCCACGGGGCGTGTTCCTGGAAAACCTGGGCAACACGGACTTCATCAAACTCGAGCTCAAGTGTGAGTACAAGCCCTGGGCTGACTCGGGAGCAGCCGCTCCATCACCCCCTCCCTGCAGGCTGGCCGGGGGCCCGATGGCGCTGCGTCGCTGGGATCCCGCGTCAGGGGCTCCCTGGGTGACGGGCGAGTCCACCGTGTTAAGTAGGACCCATGTCCCGGGCCTTGGACGGCTCTCGGGGCGCAGGCACTCGGGGGGATTCCCAGTCAGTGATTTGCAAGGAACAGACAGAAAATAAACTGCCCTGAGGGTATGCAAGAAGAACGGATATGTTCATTAAAAATGATAGAGAATGAAAAGGAAAGGGAAGGAGGAAAGAAGGGAGGGAGGGAGGGAGGAGAGGTGAATCGCCCTAACAGAACTGGAGAAGGACGGACACTTAAGTCTTCTTGTTGCGTGTGTTTTCCGAGCAGACGGGGTTAGGAGCAGATGGAGAGCCATGCGACGTGATCAGGAAAAGGCGTGAGAGAGTGGGGTGGGGCGGGCTCACACGGGGGCATCAGGGATCATGTAACGTAACGTCTGCACGAGTTCGTGAAGCCGCGTGGACGGTAGCAGTGGGTGATGGGGTGGAGCCCGGCCTCCGCAGCTCTCGGGGAGCAACCCCCACCCACACCCCCTCCGCAGGCTTCCGTTCAGAGTTCAGTCCCTGCAGCCCTCGTCCTACGGGGCCGTGTCCTCATCTGGCATAAGGCAGCTGCAGAGGTTTACGGTCCGCAGACTTCTGAGTTTGGTGAATCTTCGTAAAGGCAGGCTCCGCTGGCCGTTGGGAAGGAGACGGAGTCAGCACGAGCACAGATGCAGCCAGGAGGGAAGCCAGTCGGTGCCCCGGGTTTTCCCACAGAGTCTCGGCACCCACAGCGCAGAGTCTCCCTCTCCGGGTCCCTGCCCTGCACCCGAGGGCTCCCGCCACTCGGTCTGGCCCGGTGGTCCCCAACCCATCTCCCGGAGACGTCTGGTGCGACATTTTTCCTTCTGTAGTTTTAGTTACGCATCACGATGTTTAAAAGAAGGAATCTCAGAAAACGTCTTTCTGCTGAGGTCCTGTGGCCTTCCTTCTGTGAGACGGTGTCTGGGAGGTTGCAGAAAGCAGGCAGACTTTGGAGAAAGTGTGTGCAGGGTGAACCCTAATCCTCGGGCAAACCGCGTCCTCTCGGAATCCCAGTTTCCTATCTGTAACGCGGGGATGGGATGTTGGGGGGTGGGGGGGAGGGTTAGGATGACGGACTACAGATGCCCGTGAAGCAGTGGTACTTCCTCACCTTCCCAAGGACGCTCGGTATCGGTCTAATCTGAGTCAGATCTGAATGAGAGGGAGACGGAGGGTATTCTAGCCCTAGAATTAAGAAATAAATAGCCCCGGCCAGGTGGCTCAGCTGGTCAGAGCATCATCCCATCCACCAAAAGGTTGCGGGTTTGATTCCCAGTCAGGGCACATACCTAGGTTGCAGGTTTGAGCCCTGGTCAGGGCATGTACAGAAGGCAACCAGTTAGCGTGTCTGTGTGTGTGTGTGTGTGTGTGTGTGTGTCTCTTCCCCCTCCCTCCCCCCTCCTCACCCCTCAATAAACATATTTTAAAATAAGTAAATAAATACATAAAATCCTCTCTTTTCATAAGTTATGGACTGGAATTATTGGAAAGGGGGTTTTACTCCCCACAGTTAAAAGGACTTGAATGAAGCTGTTTTCTGACTTACGCCTTAGTTGGACTGTGTTCCAGAACTACCTCATGGCAAAAAAGAGAGCTAGTTCCATGTCTGAGTCCCGAGTTTCTACAGAGTCACTCGGACCCGCCCGTCCCTGCTGTATGTCCCCGTGTTTGGGGAGCCCACGTCCGGACGGAAAGAAGGCGAACAGCGTCCAGAGAGAGCAGCGCTTCTGCCGGGGCATGTCACGTGCCGTTGAGTGGGCCGACTCCCGGGGAGCCACACATGGGTGACACCCACAGTGTCCCGTCCGCTGCCACCCTGCGCGCAGCCCTGCAGGCTGGCGCCTGCGGCTTCCCTTCTGGAATCAGCCCACCATCTCCTGCCCGGCCTCCCCTCTCCCCGCCGCCTTCTCTCCTCCCCAGCACTCTGGTCTTGTCCGAAGACCCTGCCTTCCCCGGGTGTGTCTGACGCAGGACGGCTCCCGCCATGCCGTGCCGGCCTCCAGCGATGCTCCCGGGCCCACTGGCTCGTGTCTCTGCGGGCGCAGGGGCCTGCGGAGCTCTGTCCTCCAGCCCCGTGTGGTGAATGAGTCCGTTTTTCCCTTCAGCTGTCCAGCCTTCTCCTGAGCACTTGCGCCGTAGAACTTCACTTAGTTCTGAGGGTGACACGTCTCCAGAGATGTTTTCGGAGCCTTCCCGCCACGTGAAGACCCCGGGGCAAGGGGTGAATCACGGCCTCGTCCCACCGTACGGCGCTTCTGTCATCACACGGTCCACTTTCGGTGAAGAAGCCGGGTCGCTCAGGGCGCAGACCGGAGGCCGGCGCTTCTCGGACTCCTGCGGCCCTTGCGGCGATCATGGGGGCACAAGTGCCTCCTGAAGACCCGCCGCAGGGGCAGGGACATGAACCGTCCCCCGTTCCGTGGCAGCTCCGTCGAGGTTCTGAGGAACCTGTGCGGGGCGGGGGGGGGGGCGTGGGGGGGGGGGAGAAGGCGGGCTTCTGTGCTTGAGGGAAACCCTCGGGGAGAAAGGCCGTGGCGGGTGCTGGCCCGCGTCCCCTGCTCACGGCTCTCCAGCCGCCCTCCCGGAGGAGGCAGGACGCCGCGGCAGCGGGCAGAGACGGGGAGCTGCGGGCCGTCCCCCCCTGAGCCGAGGAGCCCCTCCCTGCAGAGCTCGTCGCGGTCTCGGCCGCCTCTGGCCGCTCCGAGAGAAGGTCCACTCAGGTCACATCTCCGTCAACCATCTCCGCTTCTCGCTTCCCTTGGACGCCTGAGGCCCCGGCCCCCTTCCACAGGAGCTCAGACGGTGGCCCTCTCTGTGCGCCTCAAGGGCTCCTGCCACGGCCCGGGCCTGCACACCGGCTCCAGAGCCGCCCTTCTGCCCGTTGGCCGCCTGGTGCCGCTCCCGCCAGAGGAGAGGCTCCTGAGTGTGAGAGCGGAGTGTCGGTTCCACGGAGGGAGCGGGGTGCCGTCGGCAGCTTCACCCCGAAGTAGATAAACGTACATGGCATGATTAGAGTGTGTCCTTCAGTGGCATACTTTAAGGTAGAATATTAGGCCAGCACCTGGCCGGATGGCTCGGTCAGTTACAGCGTTGTCCCAGTACCCTAAGGTCCAGAACCCCAAGGTTGCAGGTTCGATCCCCGGTCAGGGCACATGCAAGAATCAACCAGTGATGCATTAATCAGTGGAACGGCAAACTGGTTTCTCTCTCCTCCCTCTCTTTCTTTCTCTCTCTATTATCTAAAAACTCATTTAAAAAACGTTCGGGCCTGCATGTTATTTATTCCCTGTCTGTATTTATTCAGCCATTCGGCGAGTGTTGGCTGAGTACCTACCAGAGGTCACAGGCGCTGAGGGGACATGGCCCAGTCACACATGGATCCGTGGAGGACCTTCCTGTCCGCCTCGGAGAGCAGACGAGCGCACGAGCAGCTGTGACGACAACGGAAACGGCTCAGCTTGGCTCAGCCCCGCCGTGGGCTCCCCACAGGCCATTCCCCTCTCCCGGCCGCCCCTCGAAGCGGGCCTTGCCGCTCACACCTCTGTGTCCCCGGTGAGGAAACTGAGGCGGAGGGCGAGGGAGGGCCTGGCCGAGGCCACACAGCTGGGACGTGGCGGAGCTGGTGTTGGGCCCACGCCGGGCCCTCCCAGGGAAGCAGACTTCAGACGTGCGCTCTGGCCGTGCAGGCGGGACCCTCGGTCGGTTGTCCGAAAAGGCTCTGGAGACAGACGGGGAACTGGTTGTCTGGTCATCCGCGTCACTGCTGAGGCCTCTGATGGGGACGGCAAGGGACAGAGTGGACAGGAAGCTGGTGGCTGAATGTCACTGTCCGCGGGTCCCACGCAGGCAGTGATAGAATCAGGGCACAGTGTCGCACAGGAGGGCGCGTGGCTGAACGAGGCTCAGGTGCCATAGAGGAGACGTGCGGACAGGGGCGGGACCTCCCCCGCCCTCCTGGCCCCGAGGTGCGGACAGGGCCCTGGGGAGCTGAGCTGCAGTGCCCACGGTTAGGCGAGCTGTGGTCAGAGGAGCGAGTGATCGATGACAGTGACCGTGGGGGGTTTTTATTTTCGTTTAATAATTTAAAAGAGATTTCTGGGGACAGAGTGGGAAATCTTTGAAGGGGATGCTCACGGACTAGGAGACACTGAGGAGGAGCAACCAGAAGCTGCCGTGAAACGTGAGCATGGGCTTGCACGCCGGCCCAGTTTGCACTTCCTCCGACATCGGGGTGGCTCAGAAAACATTTGCATTTCACAGGCGTGTCTCCCCCAAATGTGGAGGCAGCCGCCTGATGTCCTCCTGATCCGGAGACACGGGGTTAAGGAGCAGCTTTGATTCCACGAGACGCAGCCTCCTGTAATGCACGGGCCGGAGGAAGACACGGAAGAAACATTCTGCAGCATACAGAACCCGATGCCTCGGAGGGAATAAGCTAACAGCAGTGCATCTGCCGCTGTTCCAGAACCGGAGCAGCTTTCTATATTGAAGAGGCTCACTCGTGTCTAATTTTACTCCTCCACTGGCCTGTTTTGACTTTGGGTTGCTACTTAGGATGTTTTATCTCTTTTATGTATACTGAGTTGTTATTAGTACATACCAGGTGGTTAGCACCCAGATTTATCCTTTTCACTTCTCCACACCAACTTATTTCATCAACAGAGACTCAGGAAGGACTTTCACGTTTCTATTACTCTGCAAGTCGAACTGTGAGAAGTGTGAGTTCGGTCTGTAGCAAAGCTTTGGGATCTGCAGAATGACTCGGCCTTGGTCATTACGGTACACCAGGGGAAAAATTGCACCTTCAAGAAAAAAGTTAAAACCAGAATAGCAACACTATTGTGATTTTTT